AGCAAGCAAGCTGGGTACTTAGTTTACTGACCTTGGATGGAAGGTTGAGTCAGTCTTAAGCCAACTACCTAAACCCGTCAGAATCAAACTCAGATCATAACCAGAGTCTTGACTGCAGTATTGCAGTTTATCCTCTGTGCCACATTTCCATGTGTCCATAAGTTGAGGACACAAAGGGCAGATGGGGCAGACACAATGTAGTCGTACCAAGAGTTTGGTTTCATTATTTCATTCAATTGTGCACTAACATATTTTAGTATTAAGTATAGCTTTAAAAATAATAATCAGGAAGAGTGGCATCAGACACCCTTTGGAGCACATCATACTGGAGTAAAACTCATTTAGATATAGGCAAACAGTGGGGCAGTAGAAATCTAAACAGCATCACATCTAATGCAGAAAGTGGCAATCTCATAATGTACTTCAAGCTTTCTTCTTTCCAATAAGAAATGTATAAATATACCCTCAATGTTGATGTGAAGTGAAAGGATGTCAGGTAAAGGATGTCATGAACTGGATTCATGGTAATATCCAGGAAGAAAAAGGAGACAATTTTTAAAAATGTCCATAGGAGGGCACCACAACAGAAGGAAAATGTGAGGCATTTTCATAGATGTGGGCTTCCTCCAGTTCCTGTCTATCTGCGCTTGCTTGGTACTTCTTCAGTACAGGGTGCACAAGCTTCACTGGGCCACTTGGTGCTTCTTCCCTAAGTCCTTTCCACCATGTCATTGTCCCAGGAGGCAACTTCCCCCTCCAGAGTTGGCCATGAAGACCTGTATTTGTTTGTATTTGGTGGCTGGAAATGCCTAACCTTGTGATGTTCACCTCTAAGGCTCTCAATACAGGTCAAGCCTTCTTAGTGCAATACATATATTAACAACCCAGCTTTCCGTAATGTCTTAAGGGTATAAAATAGTTTTCTCCCTTGACGGACTTGGATCTCTGTCCCAGAAACACTGTGTAGCATTCCTGTAATGGCCAAGTCCACCTGCCCTGCAGCTCCTGGCATGGCCAGAACCGGTTAACTGAAGTAATTGACAGCTGCATAGTCCCATACCTGTGTTAACAAAGTGTCACTTTGTTATCTGTATCCTGCATTTGAAGGTTCATACTGCTATGTAGACAGGCATAGAACTACTATATGCTGTAACTATCAAATAATCCAAGCATGGTTCCCACACAGGCCACAACTACAGTGCTAAGCTGATCCTTTGGACATCACCCTGGAAATAGGGGATACCTGATAGCCACATTTCACATAGCCAGAGGCAGATATTCTGTGGTAATGCACACATTTTACATGTAGAAAGTCCCAATTTCAATCCCTGGCATCTCTAGGTGGTGCCAGACAATTTCCTGGCTGCAGCCCTTCAGAGAGTCAGTGGTGCCAGTCAGTGACAATAGTATTTGTAAGGGAGCTTTCTGACAGACCTTTCTATGTTTCTGATCACAAGTGGAACAAAAGCACATTTCAAACCACAGGTGGAGGACACAAACTTTCATCATCATCATCATCATCTTAGAACTCATCAAGTCCAACCCTTCTCAAGGAGGCACAGTGGGGAATTGAACTCCCAACCTGTGGCTCTACAGACAGATACAGTACTTAAACCACTGAGCTATCCAGCAGTCCTTTACAACGGAGAACAAAGGTGAAGGACAAGTGAAGGAAAACAGCCCTGCAGATGTCGCTGATGTGAAAAGAATGGCTGACCCAGCATCTCCCTATGCTGGCCTGCAAGCATTACCAGAGGAACCCCTCTGGGGAAAATGGGGCTCTGAGTTGATACATGAGTCTTCAGGTCTAAACAAACACTCACAGGCACACACTGCTGTGCTTCTGACCAGCCGGAACGATGCTGTGGTTGTTAAAAGACGGACAGGAGGCAAGAACCAGAGATCTAAGAGATCTGACCCCACCGCAACATTAACTGACCACTGAAGGGGGAGAAGATAAAGGGCGAGAAAGCCAGTAATACTGTAGTACTTAAAAGAATAACAATGTCATCACGAGCTTTTGTGGCTCAAACACTGGAGTGCAAACACAAGCCTGGCTCTTCTCAGGGAGGCTTTCTGCCAGGGAAGTGACTTCTGTTTAGAAAACAGAAGACAACAGCATCTCCCTAGCAGATATTTGTAATGATATATAACTATTGTGTTGATGTTCATCTTCCCCCCCCCGACATCTATACACATCATTATTTTAGTTTTCCCTTCTGTATTTTCATTTTTTAAAAACGTAAAAAAGATACTTGTGGTTTTGCCACATACGGACAAAACATCTTTCTTAAGGAGTCCTTGGCACCAACTCTTCCTCTACTTTCCACAGCCCACCCTCCTCCCTCTTGTTAGACAGGCGAATGTTTCATTCAAGGCAGCCTTGACTAGTTCCCAAACCCAAATAGGTACCCTCACTCCATGAAAAACATGATCAGCCACTGACTCCTGGGGAGGGTGTTTAGTCTGTTGAGTTTAGCATGTATGTAGATTATGGCTTGCAATTAATGGCCAAAGGACAGGATAAAGAAGATTTATGGTGGTGGTGGGATTAAGTACACCAGAAATCTGTTATTTCCTCTCACAATGCTAGCCTTCAGTTGCTCTGCTACCATTGACAGCACTGTCAATCATTTATTCCAAGGTTTTCATTGGTATTTCCAATTCCTCTTGACCCCGATACACTGCTTTGTTTCTTGAGCTTTTATGAGACAGGAGTCCTTCTCATAATCCCCCACTCTTGAGAGGGGCCCTTCCTGCTGAGTTCTAGGATGACAAACGTGTAACCCTATAGTTGCTTTGCACTTCACCTCCAGAAGCCCCGGCCAACATGAGAACATAGCAATATGGGGTTGGAGATGCTGGCAAGCTAAAGGGTTCCCTCTTTGCTTCTATCATGTTAATCATGATGACGACAACTCCATACATTACAGTAAGGGAAATTCTTGTGTTATGTGATTGTTTAAAAAGTAAATAGGTATAGCATGTGCACATCACATTCAGTACCTGTGTACTGTGTATGATGCACTCATTTGTGTGTTTAGTCATTTAGTCATGTCCGACTCCTCGTGACCCCATGGACCAGAGCATGCCAGGCCCTCCTGTCCTCCACCGCCTCCCAGAGTTGTGTCAAATTCATGTTGGTTGCTTCTATGACACTGTCCAACCATCTCATCCTCTGCCCTCCCCTTCTCCTCTTGCACTCACATTTTCCCAACATCAGGGTCTTTTCCAGGGAGTCTTCTCTTCTCATGAGATGGCCAAAGTAGTTGAGCCTCAGCTTCAGGATCTGTCCTTCCAGTGAGCACTCAGGGTTGATTTCCTTCAGAATGGATAGGTTTGTTCTCCTTGCAGTCCAGGGGATCTTAGTTTTTTTGATGTTGAGCTTCAGACCGTTATTTGCACTCTCCTCTTTCACCCTCATTACCAGGTTCCTTAATTCCTCCTCACTTTCTGCCATCAGAGTGGTATCATCTGCATATCGGAGGTTGTTCATGTTTCTTCCAGCAATGTTAATTCCGGTTTGGGATTCCTCCAGTCCAACCTTTTGCATGATGTATTCTGCATATAAGTTGAATAAGCAGCGGCACAATATACAGCCTTGTCATACTTTCCCAGTTTTGAACCAATCAGTTGTTCCATATCTGGTTCTAACTGTTGCTTCCTGTCCCACGTATAGGTTTCTCAGGAGATAGATAAGGTGGTCAGGCACTCCCATTTCTTTAAGGACTTGCCATAGTTTGTTGTGGTCCACACAGTCGAAGGCTTTTGCATAGTCAATGAAGCAGAAATAGATGTTTTTCTGGAACTCTCTGGCTTTCTCTATAATCCAGCGCATGTTAGCAATTTGGTCTCTAGTTCCTCTGCCCCTTCGGAATCCAGCTTGTACTCCAGGGAGTTCTCGGTCCACATACTGCCTATCTTGGAGGATTTTGAGCATAACCTTGCTAGCGTGTGAAATGAGTGCAATTGTATGGTAGCTGGAGCATTCTTTGGCACTGCCCTTCTTTGGGATTGGGATGTAGACTGATCTTTTCCAGTCCTCTGGCCGCTGTTGAGTTTTCCAAACTTGCTGGCATATTGAATGTAGCACCTTAACAGTGTCATCTTTTCAGATTTTAAATAATTCCACTGGAATGCCATCACCTCCACTGGCCTTGTTGTTAGCCAGGCTTTCTAAGGCCCACTTGACTTCACCCTCCAGGATGTCTGGCTCAAGGTCAGCAACCACATTATCTGGGTTGTCTGGGATATCTAAGTCTTTATGGTATAATTCCTCTGTGTATTCTTGCTCATTTCTAGGTATATGGAAAACATAGTTAAACCAGGTTTATCAGCGATGTGCATTTAAAGACAATAGGACATCTCTGGATGATATCCATGTATCCTGGAGGGAAACACCTATATTGCTCTAACTGCAATAATAATACAGGAACGTTTTAGCTTTCAAGGACATACTGTACTTACCTCTCACTGGCCATTCCTGAACAAATGATGTTACCTGATCTGTGAAAAGTTTTCATGTGCTCCCCCCCCCCAGTCATGCTTGTGTTAATTAGTTTAGCTGTCTGAGCTGTCAAAACCAACTACTTGGGGAATGGTCACTGTTAATGACATAATTGTCCCTACCTATAGTTCTTGCATTTTGTTTTCTTCTGACTTGCTTACAGTCCTCAACACATACACTCATGTGTCTATGTACCCATCATTGAAGGCAACATTCCTTCCCTCTAATGAACTGGCTACCGTCTACAAAAACTCATGCCATAATAAATCTGTTAGTCTTTAAGGTGCTGCAAAGCTCTTTTGCTGAGACAGCTCTTGAAATTAAAGAAGAACGTCATGCCAGTTGATTGGCTTGGGAAAAGAGAGAGAGAGAGAGAGAGAGAGAGAGGTGGGCGGGCACACTGTGGGCTGATAAGGGCTTGGATCAGGAGTGCCAAAGGTTGGCATGCAGTACAGTATATGTTTGTGTGTCTACTGCTAAAGGCTTGGAGTGCTGAAAGGCAGATGGAGCCCCATAAGGGAGTCCCTTCTTTGAGCGGTCTCTGCCTTCTCTTGGTATTAGGCCATCTGGCTTCTCACGGTGCTGCTCAGTTGTGGTGGCCTTTTGGTGAATCTACTGGTCCCAAAGCTACAACTGTTGCAACACCCACAATTCCAAAAGGTAGGAATCAATCTTGCTCTCAATCTCTTTCTCTCTCTCTCTCTTTGCTCCTCCTCCTCCTCTTCCATTGCCTTTCCCTACATTATTGTCTTATGGCAAAAGGATTTAGGACAGGAGAAGCTAGAAGCCTTTGTCAAAAAAGTGACACAGACAAAGGATTCAGTATAACATGGAGATGTATAGGAATATATTAGTGTGGCGTGGAAGGTATTGAGAACTAAGCTGTCTGGGCTTCAGATGGGTTCCTCCCTTCCCACCTGCCAAGGCTCATGAATTTCCTATAGCTGTTACTGGAAGGTTTGCAATGGGATGTCTTTTCTCTACCTAGAGAAGAAGTGGTATAGTACTTTTTGAGACCCAATGTACTATAGTGGATAGAGTGTCAGATTGAGGACCTGGATTCAGATTCCTGCTTAGTCATGGGAACTCACTGGGGGTAATAGTAGTTAATCGCTCCTTGAACATCTCACATACCTCAAAAGCCCTATTAGGGTTGCCACAAGTCAGAAGCAACTTGATGGCACCTAAGTGTCTATCTCTGTCTCTCTAGATTCCACATCACAGCATCTGTGCAGGGAAATGTTAATGCTATAAGCAGCCATTCTTCTGCTTATAGACGTTTCTTAGACAGCTTACCGTGCAGGTTTACCTGCCTTCCTGGGCTGTTGTGAGTCATGGCCTGAGCTCCAAAGCAAGAAGATAGGCTAAAAATAAAAGACAGGTGAACTGACAAATAAGAAACTGTAGCATCCCAAGCTTGTTTCTCTCTCAAGTGCTCTGGGAAAACAAGTAGTGGCCAGAGCTACCTATTTCCTTTTATTTTGGATGCTGTTATGTGATGAGAGTTCCTAGTTTGGTTTCACTTTGCATCCCCAGGTCTGGATTCTGATGTGGTGCAGCCTTCAGAAAAGGCGGTCAGGAGCACAACTTCTCCTTGGAGCACAACGGACATGTTTGCAGAGGACATAACCACTTCTGAAAAAGCACTGGACTTGGTGAGGGTTTGCCACATGGCAGTTGGGTAGACTGAGTACATATTGAGTTTAAGAGCAATAATACTTAGCATTGATGCGACATGAGTGTTATTTCATTATATTTCCAATAGTGCTTTATAAAGTAAGCTAATAGTAATCATCATCCCTGTATTTGTAACTGGAAAGAGAGCATTAATTCCAAGGCCACTCAGTGTATTCATGGCCCAAGACAAGATTTGGGAGGAGGGTCTCCAAAAAGTCTCCAGGCTGTACTGGCTATAAGTGGTGTGCCAGCATGTTGAAGCTGTCTCTGTAGTTGAATGTGTACTAACAGATAAGGCTGTGCATGGTGTAAAAAAGAGCAAAACTGTACACAGGAGAGGGTGTGTGAATGTGTCCCGGTCTTCAGAAGTATGATCTCATTCCTTCCCTAAAACAGTGACCCAGAATCATAACCAATCTGTCATTCTGCATGTCTAAACACTCATTGGTTTCATCCAACACTAAATGTTTAGTGTAGTTTTAATGCTTTAACATGGTGACGATGATAAGGATGATAATGTTGAAGAAGAGGAGGAGGAGGATTAGAGGTTATGCTTCATGTGCACAGACAGGAGAAATGGTGTGTCTTTTAATGTGTGGGGGTTGGGGGGCAAGAAAGCCAGCTTTTTACAAGTCTTTCACTGTCTGAAGAAAAAGCTATTGATCATTATTCCACCTTCAAGTTATCTGGAAGTTACATGTGCCTTTGTGTGACATGATGGCGCACACAAGGAATGTGGATGAGGTATGAGATCCCAGCCTTGTACTCTGTAATCATTAATCTGGAGGAATTAATCCCTCCTCATTCCATTCCGTTATAAAAATTGTGGGGGAAATCTCCAACGGTGAGCAGTTACAAGAATACGAAGGTCACCAGAGTCTAATCTAAGGTAGGGGATCTTTTTTAGAACTCAGGAATGTGGGAAGCACCTTACATGGAGTTTTAACAAGTTACCTTTTGGACTTCAGTCTGCAGAATCCCCAGTCAGCCTGCAAGAAAACAACTCTAGTCTCTTTAGTTTAGTATAGATTGCACTGACTGTCAGCAGCTTCCCGTGGTCTTTGAAAGCAGTGTTTCCCATCTGTAAAGGGAAAATGTCGAGGACTGAATATAGATTATGTTGTGTGCAAAGTATATGCCTGCCGAGAAAATATGCCCTTTCCCTATTTCTGATACCTTCAAGCTAATGGAGCTCTCTCCCTCCTCCCTGCCCCCTTTTTTGCATTTGTTATGGTTTGTAGCACAAACACAGGATCACATTGTGATGATCAGTTATCTTTTAACCACTGTGTTGTATGCCAAAGCCGTTAGAGAGAAGCATCTATCTGGTTTCTGTGGAAAACACTGTGTGGAGTTACATGGATCTTTGCTCAAATGCTGTAAGGCAGTTATTTTCTACTGGCAGACAAATAGGCCACACACTGCGCTGACATTTGTTGCAGATAAATAGAATAGGAATGGGACTCGTGATAAGTGGGCTGCTTGTTGCCTCCACCAGTTTATAGGGTGGTGGATCCCTTGAGGCTGTACAACTTCAAAAAAAATTGGCCAAAAAATGGAGAATTGGCAGTCCTAGATGCCTCCAGAAGCAGCAATTTCCCCCTAAAACAAGGCACAGACATTAGCTTGATCCCTTACCTCCTAAAACCTCAAAACATTCTTACAAACATGGAAGTCAGTCAGTTCCACTTTCACGAGGAGGAGGGTCTGTGCCTCCCATGGTAAGCTCGGGTGCTGAAAATTGGCCATTGGATACCACGAGGTTGACAACATTGACCAAGAATTTGAAGAGTGGTAGAATGTTCTGTGTCCATTAAAAGCAGAGTAAGGTGTGGTGCAGAGTGGTAGAATGTTCTGTGTCCATTAAAGCAGAGGAAGGCATGGTGTTTGCTTGCATGTTAATGGATGTGGTCTTCTGTACATGACATGACCTGCAAGTGTGCTGCAGAGCTGATGGTCTGCATGTCTGGGATGGATATGATTCATTTGTATAATGTGTGTGAACACTGTTACCTGTGTTCATAGGTGTGCATATTGAAGCACAGTACTTCTGGTTAGGAAGAAAATATGCCGTACACAGAGTACAAATTTTGCAGGAGAAAAATTGCACATGAAGCTGCCTCCAGAGATGTGATCAACTTTTCAATTTTAAGAAGTATGTTTTTATGAAAGCTTAAGTGTAAACACATCTATGTAGAGAGTGAAAAATACATAGTCTCCTCAGGGAGTAAGTGCTGTGTGGCTGTCACATGTACCTGGTGTTTATTGTTTTATAGTGTTAAAGCTGATGTTAAAATAAGAAAAACAAAACTACCGGTAGCTATATTATTTTTCAAAGAGAAAAAATTGCTTCCAAAATCCAAAGCTAGGTACTATCTATATTAGAAAAAAAATGCCATTATAAAGTATGTAGATGCTGAAATTCTCCAGGGCTCTTTATCAGGCCAGATAATTTTGAAGAGCATGGGATGGGGAAAGACACTCAGAAGTTTCAACACTTGCAATTTGCATTTTGAGATATGAGTCTACAATAAGCATCATGGCCTAAATTTTTGGTTTTCTGTCTCCTTTTTTAAATACATCACCTAGCCTGATGGACAGTTCTAGAGACCTTCATGTCTTCAAACCCCAATATTATGGATTTCTAACAAACCCTTGCCAAGGATTTTGGATTTTTTTCCTTCAGCATATGAGCAAGGATTTATGTTTTAAGAAAGAACAAAAAGCAGTTGTGTGAGGCATTTGGTACTTCTGCATAATGTCATACCAATGCATGCATTTGGAGCAAAGGTGCTTTTGTGTTACATGTTTGATTTATGCCTGCACACAAATAGCAGGGTGGTATGCATGGCTGTGCACAGTTGTTCGTGATGATGGAGTGTGAGTGGTGATTTACAAGTATATGCACAGCAGTGTGTTCATGCACAAACCCTATAAGGTGTACCGTTTTTCTCCAGAGTTTGGAAGTAACTACTTACAAATACCAGGCTGCTTGCAAGTAAGTCCATTTTGAAATACTTGCATTACATTGGTAACATATCCCTTTGCTATAGAACTGCAACTCTTTTGGTTTTGTTTATAGAGTTTATCTACCTGACAAAGTTATAGCAGTTTTCTCCTGAACTATAGCAACAGAGTTCTCTAGAAGAGATGGCTAAGTAATTGACCAATCTGCAAAGCCCTGGATGCCATAGTTACAGTAGTACCCAAAAGTACAGTTACACTTACAGTCAGACATACAGGCACATTTTAAATTACAAAGTGTGTGTGGCATCAGTTTGTTTGGTAGGCTTTATGCTTGCATCCTGTTAATATTCTAATGTTTTAAAAGTAACAAAAATGAACTATTGAATTACTTTTCAATAATAATAAATGTAGTTGCTTTTCAAAACTGTAGTTACAGTGATGGCTGAGAATGGTGAGTTTGGAATTGTAACCGTGACAAGTTATGTTTGAAAGTAGAGATATGCATGTTTATGTTTTTGAACTGCAACTCACAGAATTCCATAGGCAGCAGGGAGACTCCGAAAGTTGTAGTTCAAGAACACAATCATGCACACCTCTGTTTGAGAGTAACTATCTAAGTTTTGCTCTCCTTGAAATATTGAGTCTCTTTTCCACTACACTGAAGATAGCTTCACCCTTCACACCCCTCCAAAACATAAGGCAGATCTAGGCCAGGCGGCTGCTAATCTTGGTATGTTCTTGATGAGAGAAACATAAGTCAAAGTCCCAAGGCCAAATCCCCCACCCTGTGGCACACGTCTGCTTGCTCTCGCCCTCTCCACATCATGCCAAATGGTCCCTTTCACTAGCTCTTATCAACAGCCAACCTCCTGTGAGACACAACACAGAAGCCACTGGCAATGGTGCGGCTAAAAAATATTGTAAATAAATAAATAAACATGTCCTTGCCTTCTGTGGCAGATTGACCTGGACTTGTGGTTCAACTTTTCCTACCCCATGTAAGGTGCATGAATTCGGAGGTGTATATCACAGTTTAGAAAAGTTACATTTTTGGACCACAATGCCTAGAGTCCTCCAGCTAGCATGGCCAGTAACTGTGATGGCTGGAAAATTCTGGGCATGAAAGCCCAAAACATAACTTTTCCAAGCTCTGATATACAGTAATTATCATCATCGTGTGCTGTCGAGTCAATTCTGACTTATGGCAACCATTTTCAGGGTTTTCCAGATAGAGAGTACTGAGAAGTGATCTATTATTCCCTTCTCCTGGGTACATCCTGGGACAGCACCGCTTAACCAAGGCTACACAGGCTGGTTGTTCTGGGGTGCACAGTAGGGAATTGAACTCCCTGCCTTTTGCTTTGCAGCCAGATACCTAACTCGCTGAGTTGTCCAGCCAGCTCTGAGGAATAGTGCTTGTCTTTATCTACCAGTGGACAGTCAGTAGAAAGAAGCACCCAGGGTAGAGATACTGCATGCGAAGCATCTGAAACAGAAAAAATCAATCAAACTAAGAGGGATAAACAGAAATAGCTCTTAACATGGCATTTCTTTGCCCTTTGAAAACATCTCAGAAGCAGCAAAAATGGTTCAAACTAGGTAGGTGGAGGTGGTAGGGGAAAGTATTAGCAGATCCAGTTATAAAGTCGCAATGACAATGCTTCAAACCTCTGCCATGAACTCAGTTAAGTCCAAGGAAAGGTCTATCCCCATTTTAACTCCTTCCTTCTGCAATATCACTGTGTCTTCCACTTCTGTGGGAACACATGGGTCTTGTAGTCCAACAAATTCTGGAAGACCACATGCTACACAACGCTTTAAACAATTCTTTCTTAACTCAACACCATTCCAAAAGAAGACCATTGCAATTTCTCAAATAGTGTTAGCGACTGAAAAAGTAAAGATACTTTGAAAAATGAGAAAGCTTTTCTGAAGATGTTTATGCCCCGAAAAAAGAGTTCTTGGCTTATGAAATGAAATGTGAACCTGGGGTGAAGACAGATTTAATTGTTTGTGAGGGATGAGGGTACTAATGTGAACTATTCTTGCTGCTTCTGAGATGGACTATAGAGCAGAGAATGTGCGTTCAATCACTTTCTGCTACACTTAAGGTGTTATATCTGCTTCACTGTTCATTCCTTGAGGCCTCCTGTAGAGCTGGAGAAATATGAAGCTTTTGTGTCTGCCTACTAAGGGCCTGTTCCTGAAAATGGTGGATGATTATGTTTCAAATCTTCACAAAAGAAGAGACTGAAGTGCTCATAAGTATTTATACCCAGTTCCTAATTTGATCCACAACCTGCGATAGCATCATTCATTTCATGACTGCATGACAAGCATAAAGGATGACATCTTTGTTTCTACAGTAACTGCTGAGATTCTGTAACCTTCGCAATGTTTTACAGAAGGAATCAAACTCTTTTACATGTGCTAATAATAATCTGGCTCTTGTATCATGGCTCATTGCCAGAGGCACCATTCATTCTGGTGGTTAAACCTTCACAAGTAAGAACTGTATTGCAATTCAATCCATTATTCAGTGTCAGAAATAAACCTTGCTAGGTAAATCGTGGGCAAGGTTATTTTGACTACTGTGTAGATGAGGTGCCCTTAAGTGAGCCTATTAAGCTGCAAGAGATGGGGTATGAATAACCTCTGCACATGTCCTATGGCATGTGTGACTATGCAAACTGCAGGGGGAAAAGCCCTGTTGGGTGTCTAACATCTCACCTTGCTTTCCACTGGAGCTACCCCCGCTGCTTAGTAGATTTATTACTTCATTGTTTATTTAATCAGAGAAAGTATTCAGCCCCAGAATTTCCTGTTCTTTTCAAATCTCTTTTGAAGATGGTGATAATATAAGCAATGATAATATGTGTGTATTTTGGTGGTAGTTATTGTTTTGTACACTGTTTTGTTTTGCACAGAGTTTTTTTTAAAGGAAAAAACTCCTTTAATAGTTGTTGCTTTTTAAAAAAAGAAAAAGAGTTGGGCAGAATAGCATTGTAGCTGATACAATCTAATTTAGAGCATGTGCAAAGTGAATTTTCACCGAGTAATCTCAGTTAGCCCTGAAGCCTATATTCAAAGCAAGTCTGCTCTTCCACATTTCACAAAAATCCCCCCCAAACAAACAAAACAAAACAAAAACCTCAGACCTGTTCCAGTTCGGGTAGAAAAAACACCTCTTTTTGTATGGAGCAAAATATATGGCTTTCCCTCTTCACTCCACACAGAATTCGTATGCAGTTCCCTGCCTGCTAAGCACTAGCCAGGCTCCTTCCCACACTAGTGCCAAAGAGATATCAAATGGTCAGGGTGAATGCCAAGCTAGAATGTGCCATCAAACCCATTTTCATCTTTCCCCTCAGGCCACCTCAGCACCTGGCAGGAAACAACCCTCTCCGGACACCCGCTCTCCCTTTTCAGAACTCTTTGAGGGTAGCGCTGAGGAGCCGAAAGGCACAGAATTCTTACAGGTAACAGCAGTGGGTCAGGGGCTGTTTCTCAAATATTTCGTAGCGAGTGATTTGTGACTTTTCATCAACCTTGACTGGTGACTGACACCCAACATAACAGTCTCTAAACTGTCCCGTTCCAACTGTTGGCCAGCTCAGAGCCCAATGAACAGAACCAGCACTTTATAGGTTAGAAGCAACAACAAAAACACATTAAAAATAGTAAGGTACAACCATCCATTAAAAGTCTGGGACATTCAGACAAGATTTTTGTTGTGTTCCTGGAACTTTAAGAGGAGTTCAGATGGCATCATATGTGTCTATACAACACTGTTATAGAAGTTTGTGGCTCCACCACATGGAATCTTAGGATATGTAGTTCGATGCGATATCTAGAATTCAGTGCCATAGTTCTACACTGTGGGAACTACACTAGAGCTCTTCCAGAGAATTCTAAGCCCCTCACTAAATTATAGATCACTGGATTCCATGAGATAGAGCCACAGCAGGTGTCCACACACTGGTGTTGTTTCAGATCATTCTGCGATTGTTCTGATTTCTTTGTTTCAGACATGAATAGATCACCACAGTATTTGTGTCCATACATGGGGGAGGTATTTGCGATGGACTGGAGCAAATCACAGCATCTGGTGGTGGTGTAAAAAAAAAATTGAAAACTTGGGAGTACTGATAGTATTTTCATCTCTGCATTATGTGGACACTAAAATGCAATGCTGGCATCATCGGTGCAACAAAGGTTAATCAAATGCTCAGAGTGGACAGACTTACAGTTAAACTGGCCTCAGACTGCTACGTATAACTGTGTACTGTAGATACACCCATCATCTTCTATTTATATCCTCCTCCAGGTTTTCCCAGTACTTGAAGCATTTCCATATAGAGGGCTCCTCCAGCTGGCAATTAGAGAGCACTGTGCAGCTGTTCCATCTTTTTCTCTTTAACAGATTTTCTGCAGTAAGGAAAACGACAGGGAAGGGGGAGGTTGTGAGAGGAGGAAAACGAGAATGATATTTACCCCACTTTTCTCCTTAAAAAGGGCACAAAGTGGCTTACGTCATTAAAATACAATTTTAAAGTTAAAAACAGTAAGTATGCAAATACTACAAAGGATCAAACAAATACCACATTTTAAAAGAACCAGCACTTTATAGGTTAGAAGCAACAACAAAAACACATTAAAAATAGTAAGGTACAACCATCCATTAAAACCCCTTAACTCAGAGAGCTAGTCACTGAGAGAAAGCTTGTGTGAAGAGAAAGGTCTTTGCCTGCTTGCAGAAGGACAGCAAAGATGGGGTCAGCCTGGTCTCCTGTGGGAAGGAGTTCCAAAGTCTGGGAGCAGCAACAGAGAAGGCCCTCTTCTGTGTCCCCACCAAATTCACCTGTGAAGGTGGAGGGACCCAGAGAAAGGCCTTTCTTGATTATCCTAACACCCAAGTAAGCTCATAAAAGGAGATGTGGTCCTTCAGATAGCTTGGACTTGTCATTTAGAGTTTTATAGAACAAACACTTTGAACATACATGGGGGAGGTATTTGCGATGAACTGGAGCAAATCATAGCATCTGGTGGTGGTGTAAAAAAAAATTTGAAAACTTGGGAGTACTGATAGTATTTTCATCTCTGCATTATGTGGACACTAAAATGCAATGCTGGCATCATCGGTGCAACAAAGGTTAATCAAATGCTCAGAGTGGACAGACTTACAGTTAAACTGGCCTCAGACTGCTACGTATAACTGTGTACTGTAGATACACCCATCATCTTCTATTTATATCCTCCTCCAGGTTTTCCCAGTACTTGAAGCATTTCCATATAGAGGGCTCCTCCAGCTGGCAATTAGAGAGCACTGTGCAGCTGTTCCATCTTTTTCTCTTTAACAGATTTTCTGCAGTAAGGAAAACGACAGGGAAGGGGGAGGTTGTGAGAGGAGGAAAACGAGAATGATATTTACCCCACTTTTCTCCTTAAAAAGGGCACAAAGTGGCTCACGTCATTAAAATACAATTTTAAAGTTAAAAACAGTAAGTATACAAATACTACAAAGGATCAAACAAATACCACATTTTAAAAGAACCAGCACTTTATAGGTTAGAAGCAACAGCAAAAACACATTAAAAATAGTAAGGTAACCCCTTAACTCAGAGAGCTAGTCACTGAGAGAAAGCTTGTGTGAAGAGAAAGGTCTTCGCCTGCTTGCAAAAGGACAGCAAAGAAATAACAAATATGAAAAATCAAATTGAAAGGAGGCAGATAGATCCCTATAACCAGCCCCAGTTAACAATCAGAAGCTCCTGTAAACTTCAGGGAATGAAACACAACAATGGTGTGATGAAGCCTCATTTGGAAGTACTCTTGTTCCATCTTTTTTTCTTACCAGAAAAAAGGAAGAAGTGAAGAAAGTGCTACTTCTGATAACTCTAGGAACTTTCAGTATATAAAATCCCATAATCCTCTTTTGACTGGTTTGGTTTGGTTTTTGCTTGCAAGCACCAACATGGTTCCTGTACCCTGTAAAAACTGTGATTCTGCAAACCTTGTGATTCTTGGAATTTGCTTGCACCTTATCCTTCTGTATGGGTGGTGTCATTCTGACTACACAAGGAATGGCACTCAGAGACTGAAATTCAAGAGTAAATTGCAATGAAAGTAGGCCTATTGAATTACTCTCTGGATTTCCACTGATTCAATAGGCCTACTCTCGTTGCAACTTATTAGTGGATTTCAGCCAGAGAATTAAGTTTGCTGTTAGTAGTGGGAGAATTAACCATATATTTCCCTCCTCCTACACCTGAAAGAGAGGGGGAAACAGCATTACTGACATTATACAATTGTGATAATAAAAAATAAGAATTAATGGGTGAATTAATAATACTGCATTCTGCAATGAGGGAATATTTTAATAAGCCCACACAATAATGTGTGCGTGAAAGACCTATTGGAATGAAGAAATAACAAATATGAAAAATCAGATTGAAAGGAGGCAGATGCTTAGATATATTTATTGTGCTGTGGCTGCATCTTTCTACATCTTAAGATACCTGCAATTGAGTGCATGTGTGGCTGCTGTCTAACAGAGTTGAGGAAGCCTAAAATCTTAGAAACTTCATAATTGTCATCATCCTGTATTTCAGGAGGTGCCCAAAACCTCAGTGCCTTCAGTTCACCAAACCACAGTCAGGGGAGATTCTGTAGCAAAAAAGGTATGTTGGCTTTTGTCGTTCAAAAAAGCAGTGAACTATGGGGTGCATATACGCCACCCAATTATAGCAATTTAACATCAGTTTTCGCTTTCTGAGGACTTATACTGTAACTAAGAAGAACTCTCTGCTAGTGAGTTCAAGTATACTGCTCTGAATTATAGCAGAGAATTTTAAGCGCTATGAGATGGTCAGGTATAAAACAGCTGTTTAAATGTATGGTGTTGATAAGCTTTTTAAAAAGGGTGAAAATGAGACAATTAAAGGGAAGGATGATATTTAGGATGAGCAGGAACTTTGTTTATTAGGGTTTATTTCTGAATAAGTATATATTACACACATCTATCCTGTGGGGGTGGGGGATTATTTTGGTAAGGACCAGATTTAGATTAAAATTAGAGATGGCGATATTCATATTCATAAATGAATATGAATATCCCCATCTCAGGTGGACCTCATGTGTCCTGGCACTGTGAAGGTCACGCTGTTCCCACCAGTGGCAGCCAGAACTCCACTTTCTTCCTGCTCGATTGGCCATTCCAGGCAGAGGGGCAGGAGGATGAATCTCCCCATCTCTAATTCAAATTGCTTTTCCAGGAGTATTTAGGATTCCTCCTAAATACTCCTGGAAACGCAGTTTGGTGAGGTGGCTGATGATTCTGTGTGAAAGAACCTTAACTGAAACTTGCAAAGGTTCCAATTGAAGGAGGGAGTTAGTTGCCATTAAAGCACTTTAAATCTGTAATGAACATAGATAGTCAGTCATGCAAGTAGGGAGCAGCTCACCTAGACAATTTAAAGGTGAAACACCTCCATATCTCTAACTCAGGTAATCAACCATGTTTTGTTATATGTTTGTGTCCAAAATGGCAACTCCTGAAGAACACTCTCTCAATGGCAATTTTGTTCAGTTTGAAACATTTGCTGCTGCTTTCTTCTCAGGAAGTTTTTTTTTTCAGTGGTTGTTGTAGGTTTTTCGGGCTGTTTGGCCACGTTCTGGAGGTTTTTCTTCCTAATGTTTCACCAGTCTCTGTGGCTGGCATCTTCAGAGGACAAGAGTTAGAACTCTGTCTGTGTTCTGACAGTTCTAACTCCTGTCCTCTGAAGATGCTGGCCACAGAGACTGGCAAAACGTTGGGAAGATAAACCGACAGAACACGGTCAAACAGCCCAAGAAATCTACAACAACCATCGGATCCCGGCCATGAAAGCCTTTCAGAATACATATATTTCTTCAACCTTCCCTGAGAAATTCTCTAACTTAACCTCCTTTCTTCCACCTTCAGACGAAAGAGGAGGCTGAAAGATCAAGCTGGCTTCCAGTGACCACAGCTGGACACCATCAGACGGTTAGTCAGCCGAGGGTCTGACTTCTGGCTAGTCCACAAAGGGTCCTGTCTTTTCTTGATTTGTTAAGTCATGTGGCACAGTTATAAGAAGGAGACAGCATCAATGAGATCTGTTTTGGCTTAGCAGTTTTGAATCATCCAACATTAATTTGGCCAAGGAGAGTTCCAACTCAGATTGGCCCTTCCATAGCTATATGTTGGTGGTCTTCTCTGAAGGTATTTCAGGGTATCCATAGAAAGTTAACTGTTTGTTTACTGACTAGTTGCATGCATGTTGTGGCTTTCCTCCAGTGAATTCAAGGTAGTGTATACAAGTCTCCTCTCCACCTGCATTTTCACAACAACTCTTTGAGGTAGATTAGAATGCAGGACAATGGCCTATAGTTTATTCCATGGCTGAATGGAGATTTGAACTCTTATCTCCCAAATCCCAGTCCAGTATTCTTACCTCTACACCATACAGGTTCTTTAGTTGTGAATGAATACAGAAAGAAATACCCTGGGTTATTTGCCTTGATAGATCTATCTACCTAATGGCTTTCTGAGCAATTGACAGCCTCAGCTTCGTACTGTTCTGTAGACAGATTGCATCATGTGTTTTAAGAATTGAGAAAGATTTTGAAGGTTTGGACAGCCCTGAAATGTATACTGTGTCTCAACCCTTGTGAATAGGGTTGTTTTCTAATTTCCTTGTTTTTTGGCAGGTGATAACCAAGGAGCAAACCTCTTCCACCCTTTCCCCTAAGAGAACTGCTGCCTCCATTCTCTGGGTAAAGAGGAAAATACGACAGGGCAAATTACATCCAAATACCTAAGGAACTGTACGACACCTCATCCCACTAAGCCACCTCATTAAAAAAAATTAAGCATCAATGTTGCTCTTGTCATTCTCCTGTAAGCTGCTAAGAAGCCACATTTGCCTTCTTTCCTAGACCTTTCCTTGGTTCCTATTCTTCAACAATCTTGACCTCCCCTCTTTGTGAAACTAAAACCTCACCACTAATCCATTTCCCCCCACCAATTTTCCTCTTTATGGAGCTGCCATTTTGAAGGCAGACAGATTTAACTGTTGCACAGCTGAGAGACCTTCATCTCTAAGATTTCATGCCTGCATTGGAAGTTGAATGGTGGCTGTTCTGTAGTGTGTAAGAGACTTGGAATTGAGCTTGTGACTCGGGGGGGGGGGGCTTAAATCTGGCATAATTTGTATGGTTTACTACAAAAAATATTTTCCAGAGCTTGCAAATAATGTATGAAAAAATTGTTATCCTGATCTTTTAAATTATTAGTAACAAATTCAAAATTCTACAGTCAAAGTTCTATTGGCAATTTAAAACTGTGTAAGGGAAGTCACATATGTTGCAGCAATGAATTACCATTCATTAACATAATGCTGGTGGCATTCCTGGGCATGCATCAGGGAATGCAACCAGCACCTAATTTATAAGTAGCAATTTGCTGCCGTGACTTATGTAACTTCCCTTACATAAGCACAAATCACCGATGAGATTCTGACCATTAAGTTAATTCTTAAAATGGCAAACAATACTATTATAATTCTTCTCATCTGCCACATTGTAATTGTAGGTTTACTGATTTTACATATCGAGTAACCAATTCAGTTTCTTTATTATTTAAGATCAATGCATGAGACCTCCCATGACCATTTAACATGAATGCTCACCTTTTCAAGCTCTATTCTTTCCTTACTGCCATTATCATCTTGTCTGCCAGGAGGAGTCAGAACGCTTGACACCTTCAGTTTACCAATCCACAGTCAGTGAGGAGTCTGTGGCAAAACAGGTACTTTAAGATCTGGTTATCAGGTGCAGTTGCATCTTATTGCTGCTGCTCTAAGGTTGTATTTCTTACATGGGACTAAAGGTTTTATTGATAATTTCTGTTTGACTTGAAAAAGTCAGACGTACATTTAGAAGGAAAACTACCTGTAATCCAGTGATGGGGAGGTTCGTGCCCTCCCTCACTCCAAACCAAACCACATTTGGGAAATGGCCCCTCACTAACTCCTTTTTTCTGTCTTCTTCAGATGAATAATCTTTCACAGTGTGTCTGTCCGGCAGTGTCTGGCCCTCCTGGTCCAAAGGTCTGCATTCAGTCTTTTCAGGCCTAGTTAGATTGCTATGGTAACAAACCACTCTGCAAGTTCAGCCAGTTATCTAGTAGACAAGAGAGAGCTTCTATAAATGTTTGCAAAAACGTGATGGGAGAGACTCTTTTTTCAGTTCAGTTTTTATACAAACTCGTCAAAATTCAACGATTTCTTCGCATTTGAAGAAGGAAAGAAGTTAGGAATATTGTATGTTTCAAAGGAAAAATGTTTTAACCTATTTAGGCATTTGAGCAAGTCCCAGTGGAAATATTACCATATTTTTCCATGTATAAGATGCCCCCGTTTATAAGACGCCCCCCACTTTTCTAATCCAAAATTAAGAAATTTAAGTAGGGCGTAGCAAGTGTAGGGAGAAAGGGATCAAAGCGCTGCAGGATTGCTTTGATCCCTGCTTTCCCCTCCACTTGTTTTTGTTCTCTCCTCGGCTTACTTCCGTGTATAAGATGACCCTCAATTTTTAGTCTAAAGATGTTAGACAAAAGTATAGTCTTATACATGGAAAAATACGGTACTTTCAGTAGACTATAGCTCCGAGGAACCTCAATTGTGCATACAGCTTGGGGGATTCTGGAAGGTGTAGTCCAAAGAAGTACATTTTTTCCCTAGTTCTGTCCTGATGCATCTGGCTTTTCCTCACAGGCAGGGCCAGAGCTACCACTAGGTGAATTGATGCATCTGGCTTTTCCTCACAGGCAGGCAGGACTGCCTAGAGCACAGACCTGAGAGGGGCGCAAGTAGTTAGTCTTGCCTAGGGTCCAAAAAAGTCTGGCCCTGGCCCTGCTCATAGGATTCTTAAAGGAGAAAGAAACCCTCTTGCCCAGCAGAGGTGCTGATCATCATAACCCTTACTGTCAATTGGAGCAAAGTGTGGTTTGCCAGATATTGGTGGACAGCAGCTCCCATCAGTACAGTCCATTGGGAGGAGGGAGGAGAACTACAGTCCAAAAACCTCTGGAAGGCAGCACTTTGGCCCCACCCCTAAGGGTTGATATACCATAGCTTGAATCCATACAATGCTTCTGATCCAATGTTCGTTTCTGTAACAGGGGGAAAAGGGAGACCCCGGCCCTCCAGGCCAGAGAGGATTACCTGGGGAAAGGGGGCAGATGGGTAATCCTGGCCACCCTGGACCACCAGGACCACCAGGATCACCCCTTCCAGGAACACCAGGATGTGCTGGTACCAACAATGGAAATGACAGGCCTGAAAAGGTGAGATTCAGTTGTTAGGAAAAATGCAGAAAATGTGTTGATGTGCCTGTTTAGTCCCCTTTTAACAGTTTTCCTACACTTTGCATTTTCTTTTATTGGTGTGTTTTCAAATGTAGTTACATTACATTCATACCCTGCCCCTCTAGTGCCTATGAAGCAGTACTGTGGGTGGCTAACAGCAGTTAAAAACACATTTATGAATGTTCTGTTTTACTTGTATAGATCCCATATAGTTGTAAATTGCCTTGTGTCTCATCCATGGCAGACTAGCAAGATTGAAATGCTAGTTTTCTACATTTGGGGGATTCTTTTAATTTTGTGTAGAAAAGCAAGAAGCATGGAAGCTTCTACCTGCATTCTGAAATGATACGATTCAGACAAAGGTTTATCATCTCAATAATGCTTAAGTCTTTAACTTTTCTGTGGGGCTGGAAATATCAACAAATAAGTTGCCAGACTACTCAGAGATGCTGAACAAAAGTTTTATCTAACCCTTAAGAAATCATGAATATACCTGCATATCTGTTTTATTTTTAATGCAACCTTTTAGGATGTTACCATTCTTGAAGGACCTCCTGGCCCACCGGGTTTGCCTGGCCACCCAGGTCCCCCCGGACATCACGGATACCCAGGTCCTGAAGGCCCTCAAGGACCTCCTGGTCTTCCAGGGCATGAAGGCCAGCAAGGTGCTCCAGGCCTCGCTGGTCCACCAGGCCAGCCTGGCCCACCAGGATCTATAGGAGCCCCAGGTATTCCAGGGCCAGCTGGTGCAGAGGGGCCTCCAGGACCCATGGGCCCCGAAGGACATCCAGGTCTTCCAGGCCATGTGGGGCCACCAGGACCACAAGGCTTTCCTGGACAGGAAGGTCCTCCAGGACAAGAAGGACCACCAGGCAAGGATGGGTCAAAGGTAACCCATGTAATAACTGTGAGCATTAAACAAATTCGGGTGGGATAATAGGATGCCTGGAGAGAATGGAGCAAAATAAGATGGACAAGACCAGGGTCAGCAATAAATGGGCCAAGCCTGGTGTGATATTATGGGAGCTATAATATAACCAGCACTTGGAACTAATGGGTTTCAAGTAACCTAGCTAGCTGTAACTTATTACCACTTTGGAGGTAACAATAACAAAGGTGTAACCTAAATAATAATGTTTCTAAAGCAACACAATGAACTGGAATGTTAGGTAGGTGGGGTTAATCATATTCTTAAGTTACTTTTTAGGGACATTCTTAGGTATTTTAGATTCATAGTGGGTAGAATTTTTCTAGTTTTGTATCATTTTCTTATCAATCCCAAGTCTGTGTTAAGAATCTTTAACCCAGGATAAGAAACATTCTTTGGTTTTTCCTTTTGTATTTCTATGAATATTTTCAAGTTGGCCACTAGAGAGGGGCAGAGTGTATTACCCTGAATTTTTCTGGCATGCTGTTAAGGTCCATACAATGTCTTACCAAAAGGCCATGCAACAAACCACTTGCATGAGCAGAGCAACAGTAAGAACGATGAGAATGAGGCTGCTGAAAAATAATGAGTAGTTATTTATTTGTTTGTTTGTTTGTTTGTTTGTTTGTTTGTTTGTTTGTTTGTTTGTTTTATTAAATAAATAAATTCAGTAACACAAGTTGCTGAATTAATACGTTGGACGAGATGTGTAACACTTTACGTAGCAAATTGTTTTTAAATATAATATTCCAAGCTCTGAATCCAGCACATCTGGACAGCGCAAAGTTGGGGAGGCCAACCTGGGTGGTACATTTAGGGGCACCCTGAATCCAAATTAGGGAGAGCAAAAGATAGAGATTTCCAGAGGAAATGCAATTCTAACCCTAAATCTCAAGTGTTGGCACTTATGGTGCTAGGCTTCTGATTTGGACTTCCTGTGACTATTTCTGAATGTTCTATTGTTTCAGGGTGAGAAAGGTGAGATGGGCCCATTGGGATCCCCAGGAAATCCAGGACTGATTGGAGAAATGGGGCCTCGAGGTCTACCCGGTCCCATGGGTCCCCCTGGCCTACCTGGCAAGAATCAGGTGAGTGGGGACCGATCCAGTCCTTAGAATGCATGTGATTCCCAGGATCAGTATCTAGATACCAGACAGACAGACAGACAGACAGACAGACAGACAGACAGACAGACAGACAGACAGACAGACAGACAGACAGACAGACAGACAGACAGACAATGGTTATTGTCACTGTTTAAATGGGAGTAATTCTAGTACTGTACTGAAAGAGTTTCAACTACCTTCCATTAACCTTGCTATGCCCCACAGCTGTTTTCCCTCCTCTTCCCTAGTTTCTTACTGCAACTTGCCCATTATTCAACTTCCTTATTTTACTTCACCACTCTTGCCTTCCTGCAGGAAAAAAAAATCTCTTATTCTATGGGCATGGGCCTTCAATAAGGCATATTAAAAGAATATAAACATGTGTGCAAAATTGTTCCTAAGCAACAGTGTTTTCCCATTCTGTGTCCTTCCCTAAGCTTGGCAAAGCTTATATGTTGTTATGTGCCAACAGGTCACATCCTAATTGAAAGCAACCGAATCAAATGTTCAAGGCGTGTGAGCTAGTTGAGGAATGGATTTACCAGTGCCATCTCCCAGCAGTGGCATAATGTGGAGGGGGCGGGAGGGGCAGTCGCCCCAGGGTGCAATCTTATTAGGGGCGCAACCACTGCACTTTTGCACCTCCCATGCTCCATCTTGCTGCTGGCCTGGCTGCTCCGCCAGTTGGTCCATCCTCTCCCTCCCTCCCTCCCTCTCACCTTTGCTCCCCTGCCTCCCTGTCTGGCACCAGGTGAGAAATGGGATTAGACCACCCCATTGAGGAGAGTGTGCCAGCAGCCTCCATCCGACCAAGGCTGGTGAAGGGGGTGCTGCTCCTGCTGCTGCTGGGCAGCCTGAGCCATATGGGCTGTGCTGGGGGCACTGGGGGCCTGATACCGCAGTGCTTTTGCCTGGCCGCCATCGGGCTGCTAGTGGCACTGAGCTTGGATGGCAGCATCTTCCTAATGGGCCGGTGGCGGGAGCGAAACGCGGCCATGCAGGCACTGCAGGGGGCAGCAGCGGCAGTGTAGCAGTGGGAGTTGGCGATGTAGCATGGCCCTCTCTGCGCCCTAGCTGAGCCCAGTGCAAAGTAGGCTAGGAGGAGCCAGGATAAGATGGGGAAGGAGGGATGATGATGAAGGGGGAAGAGAGTGTCTCAGGGAGACTCCTATCAGAGGAGGAGGGGGGGCACAAGTCCACGGGTTAGAGGGCACAATACTTGCCCCAGGTGATGGCAAGCCACACTATGCCACGGCCTCCCAATGAGTTTTGATGGCTGAGCAGGAATTTGTACCCAGATCTCCTGAGTCCTGGTCCAACACTCTACTCACTAAAGCACATTTTGACAAAAGGAGGGGGGGAAACAAATTTTGTAGCTCTTGAATGAATAATAATTTTATTTCAGTGTGAATTTCCTTGAAATTTTGGGTCTTTCAAATACTACAATATCTTGCATGGTTTTCCCCCTTTTGTCAACAAGCTGAGACAGATCAACATGGCTTCTTCTCTAGAAATCTCTACATCACATTGTCCTCTCAAAGCTGATAGAGTACAGGCTTAAGGGCAGGGACAGAAAACATATAGAACGCCATATGATATTGGACTTCACATCCCATCATTCCTCACAACTGGCTATGCTGGCTAGTGCTGCTTGGAGTTATATCTTTAATAGCTATCAAATGTATTATTTATGTAAAAAACGTATGTCAGCATCTTCAACAATGTTTAAGCATATGCAGGGCTACATGGTCAATTTGTACATTGATAATATAAATGAGTGTTGTTTCTATTTTCTTTGGGGTTTCACTGATTCCTCAATGTTTCTCCTTATAGTGTAGCACTGACACAAGTCCTCCTGGGCCTCCAGGTCCAAAGGTAAGAGTCAAAACCTGGATATGAGACCCTAGTGCCTGAGTTTCCAATTAAGAGAGGAACAGCCTTCGTTGGTGTACTGGATGCCAACCACCTCGAAGATGTTTGTACAAAAATGCATGTGCACAGTACGGTCTTTGGAAATCCCTACTATTGGTCTGGTGCTCAGCTTCCCCTCCACCCTTCAGAAAAACATGGCAGAATGGCTCCAGGTTATCTTTCTCCTTCATCATGGTTAGTGAATATGTAGTCCTCATGCAGTCCTCTAGACCAGTGCTTCTCAGACTTGGGTCACCAGATGTTCTTGGACTGCAACTCCCAGAAATCCTGGCCAACACAGCTGGTGGTGAAGGCTTTTGGGAATTGCAATTCATGAACATTTGGGGACCCCAGTTTGAGAACCAGTACTCCAGATCAGCCATTCTCAACCTTTTCTTTTCTTTTCTTTCTTCCTTACTTCCTTTCTTTTTTTCTTTTTCTTTTTCTTTTCTTTTTTTTGCCACAACCATAAACACTATATGAAAGAAATATAAGCCAAATCACAATTATATAAGTTGCATGACAAACCTTATAAGGTGGTGTGTGAAGAACTGCTTCTCATCTGTGCCCCCTTTCAAATGTGACAGCCCCCCCCCAAGTGGGCCATACTGTTGAGAATGGCTGCTCTACATGTTGTTGGGTTCTAGTTTCTCTCATGGCTGCCTGTCAGCCATTGTGGCTAGTTCTGACCGGATCTGGAGTCCATCCATATCAGAAGGCTAGAGGGGTCAAGTCATCCCTTCTCAGAAAGTAGAGGCTTCTTTCTTCCCCAAAGGGCCTGTTTCTCATACATACACATACTGTATATGCTAACTTTAATACCGCACTTCGACAGATCAAGGAAGAAATTATTTAACAAGAGCTACATATCAACGATGATTCTTCCCCATTGGAACGCATTAAACAGGTTTCAGTGCATTCCAATGGGGGAAATGCTTTTTGCTAGACAATGATTTCGCTAAACAGCAATTTCAGTGGAACGGATTATCATCGTCTAAGCAAGGCACCACTATAAGCCAAATCACAATTACATAAGTTGCATGACAAACGTTATAAGGTGCTGTGTGAAGAACTGTTAGGAATATAGGATTCATCATGGCTTTTTTCCTAAAGAGGGGAATCGTCCTCAATAATTCCATTTCCTAATGTAATCTAGATGTTGTTGGGTTCTAGTTTCTCTCATGGCTGCCTGTCAGCCATTGTGGCTAGTTCTGACAGGATCTGGAGTCCAGCCATATCAGAAGGCTAGCCATATTCTATATTGTTTTCTCTATTACTACAACAGGAAGTGTGAGGGAGAGATGATAAGCCAGAGGAGGCTAGAAGTGAGCAATCAACAAGCAAGCAAGCAAGGAGAGGTGTGAGGGAGAAACGAGAAGATAGCAGAAGTTTCGTGTATTGGGCAGGAGTGTTCTCCAGCAATCAAACCTCTGTTTTAATACTGAGCCTAATGAGAAAATATGATTACAATGGCTTGTTTGAAAAATATCATCAGGGAACAAATTAGGTTGTAAGTACAAGGATCTACTGTAGGCTGCTAAGAATTATTTGCTAGCACCATGTTACAGGGTGCAACCATTCTTCATCATATCCTGAGCAGGATCAATGCTGCTGGTTCATATATTCTGGGAGGAGAAAGCAGCTATAGACGTTAAAGCAGTGGTTCATAACCTTTTTCAAATCACAACTCCCTTTAATAATAGCCAAGTAAACTAAACCTCCCCAATTACATAAAAATACTGTATATCAAGTCACCCCTTCTCAGAAAGTAGAGGCTTCTTTCTCCCCCAAAGGGCCTGTTTTTCATACATACACATATATGCTAACTTTAATACCACACTCCGACAGGTCAAGGAAGAAATTATTTAACAAGATGACCTGCAGCCCCTCAGAAAACACTTTGGAACCGCCTTGGGGGTCACGACTCCCAGGTTAGGAAACACTGTCTTAAAAGATACAAACCCTAAGTAGACCATAAAGGATATACAGTTACAGGGGAGTAACTGTGAGTCATCCACTTCAAGCAGTATTGGTCCCATTAAAAAGTTTCATATATGGTCCTAGGAATATAGGATTCATCATGGCTTTTTTTCCTAAAGATGAGAATCATCCTTACTAATTCCATTTCTTAATGTAGGGGCTACAGCTCCCTGTTCCCAAATATAGTGCTTCAGGCCTGTATCACAAGCTTAGAGTCAAAACCAAGAATTCACAGTTTAACTTCTTATTTCATCTTTTCCCCCTTTCCACATTGCAGGGTGAAAAGGGGGACCCAGGAGAACTGGTGAGTATAGACACAGTACCCTATCTATAAAGGTACAGTGATGGAAATGTAATGACTTTTTCACTTTTAAAATGCCTTCTATTTCCCTGCAGGATTGTCGCAGCTGCTGTGGGGAAGGAAGAAATGACAAACATCTCCCTGATTTCCCCAGCCTATCTGACTCCTCGGGACCTTTTACTTATCAAGAGGTATAGCCATAGACATTCAGGTCCCTTGTGGGCAGAGTTTGGACGAGTTACTGTACTTGTTTTAGATTATAGCTCCCATAATCTCCTAGCCAGGATGGCCATTGCCGAGGAGGCCCTGCAGTCCGAGCAGTTACTTTCCAAGCTTAGCATTTGGGTTAGCTGATCTGGCACTGGCTGGACTATAGTTTTGGGGCTCCTGCTGTCATCAATGTGCTCCTTCTCCCTCCACCTTTAGTGTGTCAGCCATCCTGAGAGACTGGGGAAAGTTCTGTGCAAAGCCTTTTGGTTCTTATACTGCAGTAAACTCCCCTCCTTACGAAGGCCAGAGGCAGCACTACGGATTTCGGTTTCCGCCTTTTGGTTCTTATACTGCAGTAAACTCTCCTCCTTATGAGGGCCAGAGGCAGCACTACAGATTTCGGTTTCCAGGGAATGAGAGACTTTGTGTGATGAAAAACTGGCTCTACTTATACAAGCAAAGCAGAGCAGAAGGAAATAAAGTAGCCAGGCAGCACGTGGGCTAAACCTGCACCATATTCCAATTTGGACAGTGTTTTTTTCCTCAATCTACAATTAGAAACTCCCATTGATAGATAGGTGTTTAAAAGTGACATCAAAATGGATCTTGCAGTAAAGGTCTATTTTTAAAAATGTCTGCCATTTGGTCAAAGCATCCACAGGTATCCTGGCCTGCTGCTGTGGTGATGGTGCTCCAAAGTGGTTTGTATCTTCTCTGAAAGACCAACCACTTCGCAGTTAATTAAAAAAAAAGAATTTAAGGATTGTAATAGGGAAAGTTTTCTGGGTGGGCAAGATGTGACAGTCACAACACCTGGATCCTAAATTTGTTTGTTTATTTCCTTTCTCCTCCTCCAGAATGGCAAAGGAATCACAGAGATATATGGTGCAATTGTCGGTCATGTAAGTTTTTTCCTGCTTGTCACGGTTTTCTACTCTTTGTGATTTTATTTCTTTGTTTTTGTCACTTTAAAAAATCATGCCCCACCTTGGGCATATTCAGGATGCCAGCACATCCAGGCCAGAGCTTGTTGGATGGAACATGTCACCAATATCGACATTACTGGATAACGCATAATTGTGGGGGTGATTATGTTTACCAACATAGTTATTTACTAATTAATAAAGTAACAACTGGTAATGGCACTACTTTTTACAAATGTAAGTAGAACTATTACTTCTAAATTTTTGCTTTGGAGGGATCATTTTGGAGTATCTGAGGGTATTTTACTACAGTAGGACGGCTGTATCCACAGGAGATTGGTTCCTAGCCGCCCGATGGATGCCAAAAAACCTGTGGAAAATAGTGAATTCTATACAAAGTATGGCCTCTAGTGGCTACTTCTGGTAATTACATCATGAAAATACGTACAGTACTGTATTTCTGGGTTTTTTCCCATTTAATATTTTCAGACCTTGGATAAGTGAAACCGTGGCTATGGAACCGTGGATGCAGAAGTCCTATTGTATTTTGAAAGGGGACTTGAAAAAAGAGTAATTAAAAGTTAACCCTCCTCTAGGCTCATTCCATTTGATCGCTGTTGCACAAGCCAACATCTTGGAGGATGCTTGTGTAAGGGTTCTGCTTCCACAAAGAGGCATTGGATACTTCCTTACACAAACTCTGCAAATGTCAAATTGTTTTCACAAGGGTCCATTGTAGAAGCAAAGCGGCAGCATGGGAGACTGGCCTGTTACTTCAACAACAGGCAGCAAGAACAACTTGCTTTAATAAAAGTAATTTTATAAACTCTTATCCAAATAAAGGAGTGAATTATAGAAAAATGTCGGTTTTGCTGATGTTTTGGATTTGCTTTCTGGAAATAACAATCTTTATTTTCTCTTCCAGGGCCCTCCAGGCAATCCTGGCCTTCCTGGTCCTCCAGGCCCTCCCGGACCACCAGGTGTTCTTTATCTCAATGTGAGTAATGCTCCTCTGCATTCAGTTCTGACACCACCTGGCTAATTTTCATGAATGCAATATACAGTAATGAGAGCAGGAGAGCCAAGATCCTTTTTGGAAGACAGGAAACCCAGCATCCAGCTCTTCAGCCATTTTTAGCCATTAGATGGCACTGTGTAGCTTTTCTGTCTTTTTTCTTATTATGGCACATTGAGAGTACAAAGACAAGGAAGGGTCATGGTGGAGGATGCTGCCCTGTGAAAACCATACCGTTCAGTGAACAAGATACAGCAATGGTGGGATAAAAGACTCATCTGGAATTGCTCCTTTGTGACTTCATTTCTAAGGAGGGTGAAGTTTTGTAAGATAAAAGACTCATCTGGAATTGCTCCTTTCTAAGGAGGGTGAATTTTTGTAATAGAGATGGGCATGACATGAACCATGAACCAAAAAATACCCCCCACAAACCAGGCCAGTTTGTGGTTTACTATATTTCGTGGGTGGTTTGGGGAAACTTTCTTTCATGAAACAAAATTAAACAGTGCACTTTTTCATCGTTGGCATTTTATTTTGCTTCATCCCTCCCCACCTACCTCCAGAAAGCCCCCCTTCATGGGAACCAGCACCTCCCTTACTCACTCCGGGCTGACACCTCCTCTCCCTCCTCCTCCCCCCACTGTCCAGCTGAGTAGGACAGTAGGCTGTATGGGGCCTACTCCTTTCCCCAGTGCTTCCTGTGTGGCAGCATAGTAGAAGAGGCCCAGAACAAATAAAGTAGGTGCTGGGGCCCATGAAGGGCAACACAAGAGTAGGAAACCCATGAAGGGTTCATTTAGAGATGGACCCAAACTGAACAAACCATGATCTGATTCATTAAAAAATACGGCATGTTTCCTTGACACTGGCAAACCATCACGAACCATTGGGCCCGTTGGTGACCATCTCTGAGGCTTAAATACCCTGGGCTCATACATCTGGTAAAAGCAGGATAAAATAGGATTTTTGTTGCTTCAAGTGACATAAGCCCTACTGCGCTTTAAAATGGTTCCCAATGCACACTATTTCAAAGTACAGCAGGGCTTCCTCTGTGGTTGGTTGGGCTTTGGAATTCCTTGGAAGCCTTTCATATAAAGATCAGTAATGACACTTCCCTGGAAGTGGAAGGCAGTTTTATGAGCCATTACTGAACTGGAATGTGCTATTGCAGGGAAATGCCGGGTGTGTTTAATGGCTTGCATACACAGAGCGAAAAGTACGTTGTTTAGCATGGTCCTTTTCATTATTTTTCCTGTTGACCAGATGGTGCAAGGCTGAATTCAACCAGCTATCTGCTGTTTCATCTGTCTTCTGTTTTTTGATTTCCCTAGGAGAGCTGTGTTATTGTGAATAAGGCTTTATTTTAGGGGGAAGAAGGTTAGCAATACATCACTTCCTGTGCAGAATTCCATTCTGCAACAGAGGCTCCCAACTTAAAAGCCATTAATTATTTCTTTATTAGCTTTAAAACTGGGATGACAAAATCCAAAGACAAGGCTGCAGTGAGGGAGATATTTATAAAGATCTTTATATTTATATTTATAAAGATACCTGAGAAGCTATTTTCAAGGACATGGGTTTTTCACTATAGTGTGGATACCCATATCCATAATCTCCAGTTCTCTTTAGGGCATACCCTGCTTGTCTGTGCTCATTTGCTGCTGCGCTTTTGCCCCAACTGGATGTGCTTGAAGATCACATTTTGAGTTCAGCCAAGGCAAAATCAATATCCAGCAGGTGTGGATATAAAGCATATAGTGAATATATGCTTTATACTAGAGGAGAGGAACATTTGGTGGAATGATTGGGTGACTCCACCTCCATTAAGCCCTCTTCATTTGTGATGAGATCAAGTGGTGTAATGTCATCACCCCAGTGCTGGCTGCAGGAGAGTTAACAGCATAAACAGATCCTCCTCACACTAGTATGTGTAAATTTGAAGAGACACTGGGCCTCATCAGTCACAAGCAGGATGGAGAACTTCTCCAAGCAGATTGGGTCTCTCCTCATCTTATCAGGAACCAGAGCTTTTCCTCCCTCAGTCTAGAACATGATCCAAAATGATCTGCCTACAACGTATAAAATCTTTAGAAAAGTAATATTTGGTTTTTAAATTTCCATTCTTCTTTTTAAGATTTCCATTCAGCTAACTCATCCTATTAAAAAAGTCAAAGATGAAGTCAGAACACAGAGATTCTAATTTCATAACAAGTTGGGGTGAAAGATAGCACTGTGGTGGCGAATCTCTTGTTTAGTAGGGTTGTATATCTAACACTGAAAGTTTCTGAGAAGGGCAAGGGGGAACTCATCACCTTCCTGTTTAGCCTGTACCTTTCATTTCAACCTAAGCCCCAAAACTTTTGGGGACTGATTGTGCCTCTGATGCTTGGTGCCAACTTGATCTGTCTCCTTTCAGAGAGTGTATCCTGTCCCACCCAGGCCGCACTGCAAGCAGCCGGTAAGTTGACAGGCCAAAGTCAATACTTCTTCCTTGCCCTAAGAGAAACCCAGATATATGCTGGGGAGGGGGGCAGAAAATATTGTTTAGGAAGGCAAGGGCTCTGCTGCTTTATAAGGCTCTAGGCGGAACAGAACAATTGAAAACAGCTGGTCAAGAGGCATTGATTTTGGCTGTGCACTTCCTTTTCAGAGACACAGGATCACTGTAAACTAAAGAGACTATCTGGCTTGCCCAGTGTTTTTGCCTTGTTGCCTTGTCACCATTCACTATGTTGATTAAGTTTTAGTCCAAGAGCATCCAGAGACCCAAGGCTGGGAACAATTACTGTAGAGTGAACACCAAACCCTCGCCATACCTTTGATGCCACCCCTGCTCCCCAACCTAGCCTCTCTGGTGCATCTCTAAATGGGTTTCCCACCCTGTATCCCATGGGTCTCTGGCTACTAAGCTTGGGAGTGTTGGTGCTGCTGAATCTGTCAGTATGTTTTAACCATTGATGCAAATAGCAGCTTACGGGGAGAAAAGGTTCAGGGTGTGAAAAGATATGGTTAGAAGAGTTGCCCCCCTTCTGGCCTATAATTCAGGTCACGATTCTTCCCCACCCACCCAATTGCACCATTTTTGAAGATATGGTTAGAAGAGTTGCCCCCCTTCCGGCCTATAATTCAGGTCAAGATTCTTCCCCACCCACCCATTTTTTTTAAGAGAAAGATTTTGGAGTTTTAGTTTCAGATTGCCCTCATTCCATCTAATTGAATTGTAGGGATACTTTTCACCTGGGAATCTGGTTGGCATGCATTGCTTTCTTATGACATTTTGAAAGACTACTTACAAGTAGTCTTTAGCTGTTCCTTGTGTGTCTTCCGAAGTCGATGATGCCCCAACCATTTTTCTTGGCCGTCTTGCTAATCTGCAGGAGGTCCCGTCCTGCATGCACCATTGATATATACAGCTTAGCTAATATGTTCATCTCTCTGCATTTGCTTCTTCCAGCTATCCCAGGATCGAGCTGAGGATTTAGGTATTTTTCTCTATATCGAAAAGAGATATGTAAACATATATTCTCAATGTGTGATTGCCTTGCACATCTCTCCTAGTCTTGCTTGACTATTTGGAAGTTAGTGATCTCTAAGGTCTGACCTTAGAGGAAGGACAGATCCTGAAGCTGAGGCTCCAATACTTTGGCCATCTCGTGAGAAGAGAGGACTCCCTGGAAAAGACCTTAATGTTGGGAAAGTGTGAAGGCAAGAGGAGAAGGGGACGACAGAGGAGGAGATGGTTGGACAGTGTCACCGAAGCAACCAACATGAATCTGACCCAACTCCGGGAGGCAGTGGAAGATAGGAGGGCCTGGCGTGCTCTGGTCTATGGGGTCACGAAGAGTCGGACACGACTAAACAAACGAACGAAGGTCTGACGTATCAAATGGTTTTCTTTGATATACAACCTGTTACTCCATCAGCTTTTAGTCTGAGGAAAGAAATGCCCAGGTTGTTCTTCTAACCTTGTTCTCATCACGGAATGGGCATAAGAGCAGTCCGGATTGGAAAAGCAGGAAGATCAGGATGAGGAGAAAGTAGTTATGCACTTCTTTAGGATATCTGAAAAGAAAGAAAAAGCCAAGGCGTTTCTGCCTCAAAATTCCTCTGTACTAGCTGGCAATTACATTAAGCCTAGGGAAGGTTTGGCCCATAAGCAGCTCCCTGTGGCCAGCCCCTAACTTGGAAAGCTGAGAGCCTATATTGGGTATGTACATACATATGCATCTCTCTATGTATGTATGTATGTATGTTCTATCTATCTATCTATCTATCTATCTATCTATCTATCTATCTATCTATCTATCTATCTATCTATCTATCTATCTATCTATCTATCTATCTATCTATCTATCTATCTATCTATCTATCTGAGTAAGACATCTCCAAATTCAGCTGAACAGCAAGGTATACTTTAAATAAACAAATAAATCACTTGCCTTGGTATAATACTGTTAACCCCAGAAATGTACTTTTCAAGTAGACTTTTAACCCTGGTGAGAACCTGCTTTGCTTTTTAAAGTGAAAAAAACACAACTGTAATGTGTGCAGTGTGCACACTTCTGCATGTCTCACAGCCTTCTTGCCAAGAGCGGCATCATGCCTGTTAGAAGATTTGAACCATGAATGTGCTGACATTGAATCAGTAAATAAGGAGGGGTGTATCCCCCCCAGCCACGGAGAAAGCAAGAATTTGTGGGAATTCCAAGGAAACAAGAAGTTAGCTCCAAGTTTGCTTGCAAGAAGAAATTTATTGAGTAACACAAGACACCCAATAACTGGAACAGATGACGGCATGGCTGACAAGTCAACACAAGAAGTCTGAACAACTAGTGGGCACATCCCCCCCCCCCCCCCCGTTTATATCTGAAGACTGCAGTTGGGCAATATATAATTGCTACAGTTTGTTCTTAACTACCACTACAGACATGTGAAATACTATTACACCACCGTGATAAATTAAGGTATACATGAAAAACAAGTTTGTTGTTAGTGTTCAGTAAACCTCATTTGCTGTCTCAGGCTCCTTTTCTTGCCAACCAGGGCACCTTGTCTGCCCTTTGATCCTGCTTCATATCCAAAGAGTACTGAAACAGCCTTTACGCAGCCAAGGAAAATAGAAGACCGTAGATGAAACTGGAAGAGGCCAGACCTGATACAAGGAGCCATTCTAATAAAGCCAACAATTCTAATTTCCAAATGTTTGATTCATATTTTATCAGGATGCTCTCTGAAGACAGAACAGTGGCAACTGTGTAAAAAAAGTAAGGTGGGCTTCTTGTTCTTGTACAGCTATAGGACTTTTTTTTAACATTCTGCAGGGTTCAGAAGCCAGCCATCTGTGACAGGAAGGCATGTTCATTCTCTTTCTCCTTTGTCATGTAGATGCTGAGCTGCCTCCGAAGGAATCTTCCAGTGGAAACCAGTATGGCTTTAAGGTGCGTTCTCCTGTTCTTCTTTTTGATCTCTCCCTTATGAACTGTTCTCAAGCAAATCATCCAGTGGGTTGGTGCACCAAGGTTGGAAGTTTAGTTCCCCGCTGTGTTGCCCAAGACCAAGAGTCAGCCTGGGCAAGGCATGTGATCCTGGAGCGCCACCAGAAGGAAGGATTGATAAGCTGTTTTGAGTACTTTCTACCTAGGGAACCATGGAACAGGTTGTCATAAGTCAGATCCACTTGGTGTCTCATAATTATTTTAAAAGAGCTGAATGAGTGCAGATTCTCTCAACCATTTTCCATACACACTGGGTTAAAGAACGAGGCTTCCTAATCAGATGAAGATAAGGGAGATAAGCTCCCAGATAAGCATTCTTGTTTATATTAAGCCCTGGTTTTAAACTAATAATTAAATATGACAGATGCGTAATCTAAGCTCAGGTTCCAGTGCTCTATCCATTACACTGGAATCACTTTATTCTTACTCCCTGTGATTAAACAGTAGGCTCTTTTAATCAAAGGAAGTCATATGTGCAGTATGCTCCTCAAGGAAAAATGCCATTTTCTAAACAGACGCAAATGAAATTCCTAATGGAAAACAGCCTGTTTTTATGAAATGCTTAAAACTGTGTTTCCAAGTGTTCTGAACAATCTCAGTGATCTTTAAATGAAGCTGCCAGTATGCGGGAAGAACAGTTTTTTTATTTATTTCCCACATTTTCAAGGCAGTATACAGAGTACTTCTTTTCCTCACTTTACCCTCACAACAGCTATGTGAGGCAAATCAAGATGACAGGCATACCCTTGGCTCAGTTAAGGCATCACCCATGATCCCTGAAGTTCCAGTCCAGCACATCAACCAATACCCTGGCTGAGTGCCAATGCCATCACAGAAACCATGCCGGCATGATCATATATCATAGTTCCACCTGCTTAGCATAAGTACCTTCAAACTTTATGGGATAGATGCAGGGAGCTAACAGTAGTAGCTTATGATGCATTCTCCCCTAGAATCATTTCTATTTTACCTTACCTTTACTTAGTAAAGGCACATCCTGGGTAAATCTTGGTCTGTCTTCTTCTGCATGGTCTTTAATGATAGTCAGATGCAATGTGAAGGTAGAGGCAAGGCAATACAGTTTAATCGAACACCTTTTGCTGTTTTTCATCAATTGATTGCATTGGTTTCCATGGACTGCCCATGCACTGCTCGTGTTCCACTGCCCGTTCTAGACAAGGTTTCTGGAACTTGTTTATTGGAAGTATAGGTGAAGGGAGTGTCTTGCTCTTCAGCTTCCTGGGGATGGGTGAGAAAAGGACTGTTTTCCAGATGGAATCTGTTTAAATTTGGAAGCCAGTGTTTCCAAGTGGGATGAAACATGGATACTATATATTCTGTTAACACAACAATCAACTACTGAGCATTAAGGTAACTAGTGTAATATCTGGTAGCTACTATATCAAGGATTATGGAAAATCCTTTCCCCCCAATTCAGGCTAGATAGGTTACACTTACAGATCAGGTTAGTCCTTAAAACTCAAACCATTACAAAACACGAGGCCCAAAGCGAATTGCATGACTAGATTGCTTCGGTGGTGCTCCTACTAAACACGCCTGTTCTTCCTTCACTTCACAGCGCTCCACCTGGTTCTTCAAATCCAAAGAGCTGATGTACAAGTCTGCCTCTTCCATTCCTGAAGGCAGCTTGGTCTATGTCAGCGAAGGGAGTGAATCTTTCTTCCGGACCCTTAAGGGATGGACTAAGCTTATGGTAGGATCTTGCAGGATGCTAATCCACCTAAGCATGGGGGATTCTTAGATGTTTAGCAACAGCAAATCTCCATGAAAGACTTTGTATATAACTCATAACCCTTCCTAAGACGTGATATCTGTCTGACTAAAAAGTATCTGTTTGCCTACTACGTGAAATTCACAGGATGTTGCTCTAGATGAGCTTTTGGTCAAATCCAACTATCTTTTCCTGGGCTCTATATTTTAAATTTGTTAGTGACCTGTTAGCACCACATTCCAGGGACGTGGTGGTGCACTATCTTTTCCTGGGCTCTATATTTTAAATATGTTAGTGACCTGTTAGCACCACGTTCCGGGGACATGGTGGCACACAGGGACGTGGTGCTGCTGCAGGTTAAACCGCAGAAGCCTCTGTGCTGTAAGATCTGTAGATCTTCAGCTGTAAGATCGAATCCACGTGACGGAGTGAGCGCCCGTCGCTTTTCCCAGCTCCCGCCAACCTAGCGATTCAAAAGCATGCAAATGCAAGTAGATAAATAGGGACCACCTCGGTGGGAAAGTAACGGCGTTCTGTGTCTAAGTCGCACTGGCCATGTGACCACAGAAAATTGCCTTCGGACAAACGCTTCGGACACCATGGAAGATTGCCTTCGGACAAATGCTTCGGACAAACAGAGATGAGCACCACCCCTTAGAGTCAAACATGACTGGACAAAAATTGTCAAGGGGAACCTTTACCTTTACCTAGTGACCTGCAAAAGTGATGGGTTTTCACAATATAACTTGGCTGACTTCCTTTAGTTACCTGGCTATGGGGTCCCTGATAGCAAATTGATTTACCTTTCTGTCGTTTGAGATCAAATGTTACGTTTTGCACATTTTTCATTTTAGTTCAGCATTAATTAATATTTATTCTTTATTTCTTGGTCTAGTTGGAGGATTCAGAGACTTTACTGGCTGGTGATGACCCTCTGGTGTCTACAGAAATAAATCAGGTGAATTTTCCCAGCTTCTGCTGCTATCCGGTGCCTGCTTACCAAGTCTGTTTCCTTGGGTGTTACTTTATCTGGATTTTGCTCTGACACAACAATCAGAAGGCAGGGCTTAAATATTTTGAACAAGGGAGAATGAGAGAGAGGAATCCCCCCAACGGCCCTTGCCTGCTCACAGTGCTGGATATGGGATTCTGGGTGTTGAAGTCCAAGAAAAGGAGCTTTTCCCACTTCTTAAGTAGTTGGGATCTGCAGATGAAACTTATTGTAGGGATCTGCAGATGAAGCCTCCCTCCCCTCTTGACCAGCAAGGAGAAAGGAGACGAGCGCTCAGGTGTATGTTTCAGGGCGGGATCCGGATGAACTAAACAGCGTGCTCTCTAGCATGCTGTTCAGTGAGAGCTCTCTCAGACCGTCGCCTCGGGATCTTCCTTTGAACAAGTTAATCAAAAACTATTCTAAACAGAGGCGGTTAATATCCTGAATACACAGGCATGGTAAACAGAGGTAAACAGAGACAGATAAATCCTAAATACACAATCAGGGTAAACATTCCTGAATACAGAGCAGGGTAAACATAGACGGATAACACCTTTAAATACACATGAAGTTAATACAATTTACCGAGAGACAGGAAATTATCTTAGATACCAAAGCAGGTTAATGATCATCCTTACTGGAAACTGACCTGTGCCCAAAACAATGTCTGCTATATACATTGTAAAAGCATACAATTTCCCTACATTAACCCATTTAGGAGACACAATTGAACAACAAAGGTAACTGGTAGATGAGGCAATGTTAGGATAAAAATATGTAAGTCTCATGGATACAGAAAACTTAATAAATTAAAGAGATTTGTAGTGTGTTATTGGCAGGGTTGGGCAGAAACATAGGCTTTGAAGACAAGAGAGGAGGTCAGAGGGGACAGAGAGAATCTGATTTCCTGCTGTTGGATAGAATCAGAAACATTTGAGGCTTAAAGGCTTCTATCATAAATATATACAGGCCTATCATGTGATGTACCTGGCCCTTTTCAGGAAGAACTTCATGGCATGGGGAAGACCAATTTGGCCTCATCTGTTTACCAAAGAAGAAGCATTTGCAGAGAACATGTCACTAGAAATCATGAGGGGTTACATTTGCTCTGGATATAGAGCTGAAGGAAAGTACTCTCTGGTTTCATCCATTGGCCAAGGACTTAGAACTATTGCACTGAGACAGTGTATGCATTGTCACAGTCAATTGAATATTAGGATTGGGGGGCGGGAGATTCAAAATCACCTCCTGCCCTCTAGCAGTGGTTCTCAACTTTGGGTCCCCAAGTGTTCTTGGACTACAGCTCCCAGAAACACTGGCCAGCACAGCTAGTGGCGAATGCCCCAGAAACACTGGCCAGCACAGCTGGTGGCGAATACTTGAGTTGAAGAACATCTGGGGAACCAAGGCTGGGAACCATTGATGTAGAGGTTGGTGGGGGACAATTGTACCATGTTTTAATATCCTAAATCCTTGGGGAACCCATCTCATTTTTCCCCCAAAAAATAAAAACAGTTTTGGGACACTAGAGACCAAAAGAGGAGAGTTCAGTTTATAAAAAACATGTTTTGTAACCAAAAATAAAATATCTTGAAACGGGGAAGGTGTTTGCAGGAGCAGTTACAGTCCTCCAAACTCTATGGATGGGCAGGTGCAGACTCTGGGGATTTTTTTGCCTCTGCTTCTTCTTCAATGGCTACCCTTGCCTGGGTCAAACATGTGCCCTCTCCAAGTTTAGGACGAACCACTCCTGTCTATTGCAAGTTGCCTTGGGGGTCATTTGATCAAAATGTGGGATCCAAAACGGCTAAATGTATCATACTTAACCCTTAGGTCCAAAAGAAAGAAAGCCAAGCAGCAATTCAGAATGCGCCAGCCAGGATCTCCAAGAGGATTCCTTCGGTGAGTTCAATTAGAGAGGCACTGTAAGCTAGTCAAATGGAGAGCAAATCAGTTTGACTTTTTTAAGTATCCAAGTACTGTTTTCAGCAAAGAATTTGGTAAATGACCAAATTTGTATCCCAATTTGCTGAGTTTTATCCAGAAAAACAACAACATTCAAATAGCACAGAAGGAAAGGAAGACACTTCAGAGAGGTACAGCTTACTGTGAATCAGTGGCGGCTGGTGAATCCATTTTGGAAGTAGTATGGATCCATTTTAGGTTTTAGGTAGCACTTTACAGGAGCTATCCATGGTTCTGAGCTCTACTCCCAAAGTAGCTTCAACATATTGGATATCAGGAACGGATTCACAACAGTTCCTAAACTGGAGTCACTAGCAGCCATTACTATTGACCAACCATTTTCCTGCTCAAGGTGCGCTGGGGCCAATGAAGTCAAGGGAGCTTCTTCTGATGGTTTTCACTTCCAGAGACTCTCAAGGTAACCTGTTCTATTCTATTGGTAGAACAAAACTTTCTCAGCTTTAGAGCAAAGACAGTGCAGATTCTTAAGAACAAGACTGCAGGTATTGCCAATTTAAACCAGTCTGAAGTTGACTGGATAGCCACAGGATTTTCTGTAAATCTTGAGAAGTGTCATTTTTCTGAATGTGCAGAGAATTTGGCATACCTATAATTCTATAGTTCTATGATTTGCAGCCAAGAAATCTAAGACTGGTTTTATTTGATAAAGCTACAGTGAGAATCTGATGGTGTGGACAGCAGCTTTTCCTCTGATTGATCTACTCCATCTGTTAAACAGCTTTCCTTTGGTGCAATGTAATAGAATTTTTCTATTATTTGTGTTTTAGCTCCGTCTAATAGCACTCAATATCCCTCTGACTGGTGATATGAATGGGATTGGTGGAGCCGACTTTCAGTGCTATCGGCAGTCCCAAGAGGCAAAGCTGCGTGGAACATTCCGGGCCTTCTTATCCTCATCCACTCAAAGCCTAGTCTCAATTGTGAAGAGAACTGACAGGAATCTGCCTGTTGTCAACCTTAAGGCCAGTGACACAACCCTGTTGGCTTCTTCATGATTAAAAATAGACATACATCCAGCATAAAGTACAGAAGTATATAACAGTTTGGCAACTGTGCAGCTATGCAGATCAAACAAGATGTTGCAGGGTGTATGTATGTATGTATGTATGTATGTATGTATGTATGTATGTATGTATGTATGTATGTATGTATGTATGTATGTATGTATGTATGTATGTATGTATGTATTTATTTATTTATTTATTTATTTATTTATTTATTTATTTATTTATTTATTATTTGATTTGATTTGATATGATTTGATATGATTTGATTTGATTTATATACTGCCCATCTGGCAGCCAAGGCCACTCTGGGCGGTTTACAACAAGTAAAATAAAAACAAAGAAACAAAATAGCAAATAACATCAATACATATGGTGGAAAATCAAAAGTCATAAAGAGCAGTGAGGATAAAATTACAATACAATAAATAAAATTAAAAGCATAGAAAAATATAAAAACATGGAGCATGCCAGTACGATATTACATTATGGGACACTATTGTATGACAGTGTAGTTTGTTCAGGGACTATTTCCACATAGTCAGGTATGAATTTACTATTGTAACTTGCAAGGTCCAAGAACTGCTGAACTTCCTTCTTATTCCAAGGAGGAGGCCACTGAGACACCTTGGTGACCTTTTCCTCCTGTGGTTCTATTATTCTTTGCTCCAGTTTAAACCCTAGATATTCAGTTTGGGATTGGGCCATTTTATATTTTGCACAGTTAACTATGAGACTGGCCTTCTGCAATTACTAGCAAAGAGCTGTCTGGATGTGCTGAAGATGTTCAGACCAAGAGCTACTAAAGATCCCAATGTTGTCAATATTTCCCACAGTTACTGTAACCATGTTTTCCCTCTCACAGTGGGATTTTCTCAGATACCCCTGCCTCAGCAATCAGACATGCAAATTAAGCCCGTGGCTTATTGTTTTTCAATGAATAGTCACAAAGCACACTAAATGCAAAACACATTAGGAGAATCACATGTAACATGTATGACAGGATGTGGTCTGACCATGACAATGGGGTCACAACCAGCCCCTCTCTTTCAGGATGCTTGTAATATAAGCCCTACCCCAAAAATAAGCCCCAGTTAAGTGAAAGCCTGCCCTCCATCATTGTGCAGCAAGCAGAAGAAGATGGCATTACTGTATTTGAATAAACGTAGATTGTTGTACATGAAAAAAATCCTGAAAATAAACCCTAATGTGTTTATTGGAGCAAAAATTAATATAAGACCCCGTCTTGTTTTTGGGGAAACACGGCACTACTCCATTAGTGTGATGTGCTATTCTGGGTGGTGTACAGAGTAAAAGCCAAATGATAGCAATAGCAAACGGTCAGTAAATCAAAATAATAAAATAACCACAAAGTAAGAAAAGCAAAAGGAATTCAGAACCAAAGTAGAACTGTACTACATAATAAAATGGCAGGGCAACAGTAAATAGAAACCATATGATGTTGCTGTCAAATGATTCTCTAAAGAGTATCATCTTCAGCAACCTCTTAAAGGTAGGCAAGGACGGGGCCAGATATAGCTCAGCCAGGAGTCAGTTCCAAAGAATAGGTACCACAGACAAGAAAGCCCAGTTTCTAGTTGACATTTTCCTGGCCTCCTTCGGTGCAGCCACCCAGAGGAGTATTGCCTGGGTGGATCTGGGGGTGCAGGCAGATGATCTTGGGGAAAGGCACTCTGTCAAGTAACAGGGTCCCAAATTCTGAAGGGCTTTGTAGATAAGCACCAACACCTTGAATTTGACCTGGGACACAACAGGTAGCCAGTCCAGATGAGCCAGGAATCAGGTGATTTGGTCAAATTTGTCCACGCCAACCACCACTCTGGCAGCTGCATTTGAAACCTGATGCAGTCTCTGGATCAACCTCAAGGGAAGACCCATGTAGAGAGTGTCATAGTAGTTGATCCTGGAGATCACTAGTGCATGCACAAGGTCTTCGGGGATCTCTTATTAGGCAGGGGCAGAGCTAGGCAACTAGTGCTCTGATAAACATATCATATGTCTTTGTCTTCAGCCTGAAGTAGTCAGCTGACCAGTCCTAAACAACAAAACCCAGTACTGTATTTAATTTCTCTATATTACTTCTCATCCTACATGAAGTATGAAGCACTTAAGCATTAGCTCACATTCCATGTTTTGGTGTGGTAGGGTGGTGGACAATACATTGTCTAGATCAGTGGTTCCCAACCCTGGGTCCCCTGGTATTCTTGGACTACAACACCCAGAAGCCCTCATCATTAGCTGTGTTGACCAAGATTTCTGGGAGTTATAGTCAAAGAACACCTACGGACCCAAGGTTGAAAACTGCTGGTCTAGATGATTGGATGCTGTTCCTCGGGCTTAAGCAGTGAAACACCTGAGTAACCCAAGGTTAAGAATCACTGGTCTAGATGATTGGATGCTGTTCCTCAGGCTTAAGCAGTACATTTCTAGAGTTTGAGTGCTGTAAAACCATGCAGTGAGACTTGCAGCCTCTGTTGACAATTTATTGGCTTGATAAGTATCATTTCTGTTGCAGGGCCAATTATTAGCAAAGAGCTGGAATTCCCTCTTCAGTAAAGACGACGCTTCTCATTTCAACTCCATGAGTATCCCCATCTACACCTTCAGTGGACGTAATGTCATGATGGATCCTACATGGTGAGTATGGGGTGGGGAGAAACCATTTATAAGAATTTGCAGCTAGGCACCCCAAAATCTATTCTCCAGCTCCCTGTAAAGAAGGAAGGAAAAAAAGCTATGCATTATTTATTAGAAATATTTTTATACTTGACGAGTTGTGTAAGTCCCTAGTTTAAATAACTTGTAGGAGAATGCACTTTAGGGTGAGTCATCTTGTCACTTTTCAGATTTGATGGTAGCACAAAGAATGAACTCCCAGGAGGGTGGGGCTAATGGGATGTGGCCAAAGAGGCTTATTTGCACATATAGTTCTCAATATAAAGCAATAGTTATGTACTGTAAATGTTGCTATGAGGGAATTTTGTTGGTAGAAATTGTGCTTTAACAATAGATACTGTATTCTGTGTGCTGCGAAACCATGAAGCCTCTGTTGACAATTTTTTTAACTCCTTGTGCCACCTAATAGCCAAATAAAATAAAATACATTTTAAAAAAAGAAATCGGGTTCAGAACATGACAAAATTACACCCCACTTCCCCAGTGAGCACAAAGACACTTCTAAAAAAATGTTTTTCCCAAAAACCATTTTAACCATTTGTGGGGGAGGTAAGGCACTCCAAGTAGGGGACGTGGTGGCGCTGTAGGCTAAACCGCAGAAGCCTGTGCTGCAGGGTCAGAAGACCAGCAGTTGTAAGATCAAATCACGTGATGGAGTGAGCTCCCATCGCTTGTCCCAGCTCCCACCAACCTAGCAGTTCGAAAGACCATTTGTGGGGGAGGTAAGGCACTCCAGGTAGGGGACGTGATGGCGCTGTGGGCTAAACCACAGAAGCCTGTGCTGCAGGGTCAGAAGACCAGCAGTTGTAAGATCGAATCACGTGATGGAGTGAGCTCCCATCACTTGTCCCAGCTCCCACCAACCTAGCAGTTCGAAAGCATGCAAATGCAAGTAGATCAATAGGGACCACCTTGGTGGAAAGGTAACAACATTCCGTGTCTAAGTCACACTGGTCATGTGACCACGGAAGATTGTCTTCGGACATAACGCTGGCTCTATGGCTTGGAAACGGGGATGAGCACCGCCCCCTAGAGTCGAACATGACTGGACAAAAATTATCAAGGGGAACCTTTATCTTTACCTTTTAAGGCACTCCAAAGGTCCTGGGTGACTGCAAAAATGACCCTGGAGTTGGATACACAGAAGGCACAAAATACATTTTGGGGGAACTGGAGCTTTGTTATTTTTATATTACATTCCTATTCCATCTTTCCTGCAGTGAGTTCAAGATGATGTACAGTATATGGGCTCCCCCAACCTATATCCTCACTATCATGTGTGGTAGGTCAAGCTGAGCAACAGTGACTCAGAGTCCCCAATAAGTTTCATGGCTTACGGAGGATGTGAGCCACTCCCTCCCAAGTCCAGGACACTGGAATTATGGTGTAATCCAAACTTTAATGACAATGCCAGACTTTTAAGTTCGATTTCAAAAAGAAAGAAAATATAGAGGAGGTAATACCATGAGATGTTTGCTGCCCTTCTAATGCTCCCATGCACAACTCATCTGTTTATTTGCCCTGTTAGGCAGCTATCTGCCAACTCAATCCTCTATCTGTATAGGCCTCTTGTACTGATTTGCTAGACGGATTATTGAGCATATGTACACAAGCTGGAACTATGTAGATATATATTAAATTCTGGAACCAAACTACTGTGTGACAGCAGACATGCATCAATCACATTAAAAGAGAAGATGAGAGAATGGGTTGTGATTTGGAGGAAGGATTTGTAAACACAGAGGTGAGGAGCGTGGGTCCTGTTGATGAGCTTTATTGCCCCTACAGCTGGCCTTTCTAGGTGCTTTCTCTCTCAACTGGGTTCCTGTGATCTTGTGTAGTTTCCACTTCTCTCTTATTTGGATCTGGACAGGGAGATGACTCGGGGACATCTGCATTTTTTAACACAAAGCCTTTATTCTCTGACAACTTGTTCACTTCAACAGTAACAACAGACTCCGTCCTCTTGCTTCAGGGGCCTCTTTCATTCTCATTGAACCCTAATAAATCCCCTTCTATCTGCATAAGGGTAGAACTCAAGTCTCTGTAACCCCACTTCAGTGGAACAAACACCCGATCCCTCAGGCATACTTGTAGCTGGCCTTCTTGGGGAGGGTGGAAAACCCAGCCCAACGATGGCTACCATACTTTCTTGCCCGGGTTTTGCCTCAACCTCGGTCTGAATGGGCTCGTCCCATGGAGTTTTTTTTGCCTCATCCTCGGTCTGAATGGGCTCATTCCATGGAGTTTCCCAGGACGGCCTGGCCATGGTTTGTTCTCCCTTCTTTGTGCCTCACATTTCTGCCACTCTCTTCGCTTTCTCCTTTGTTCTCTTTCTGGCCCCAGGAAAGTGGCTTTCTATAGATCTTTGTCTTCCACTCCTTCTCAGCATACCCCCCTGGGATTTTAAACTCTGTCCACTTTTTCTCCTTTGTTCTCTTTCTGGCCCCAGGGAAGTGGCTTTCTATAGATCTTTCTCTTCCACTCCTTCTCAGCATACTCCCTTGGGACTTTAAACTCTGTCCACTCCCCTGTCCAGGGGCCTTCCTCCACTATTTCCACCCAATCTTTCTTTCTCTCCTCCTCCTCCTCCTCCTCCTCCTCCACCGAACACAGCTTCTTCCTCCTCAGTTTCTAACTGTCCCTTTTCTCCTTTCCTTTTCTCCTCTCTCCCTTTCCCGCTGAAATGATGCCCTCTGGTGGTTCCTTCTTTTCTTGTCCTTTCTGCCTCTTCTCTTCCAAACACAATCCCTTTAGGTTCTCCTCCAGGGTGGGCATCTGTCCTTCTATATCTTGAGCCAAGGAAGCAGATGGTCCACTCTGAGGAGTGCCCTTTAGGGTACCCTCATCCTCACAGTTCCAGTACTAGGAGTAAATTTCTCTACTGTGAAAAGCAGCTAGGTAAATGTGCTACCAGAGCAGGGTGTATGTGCTGATTCAGGAAATCTCACCCTGTACAATCCCTTGTGTACACTTTGTGGGCCCTCTATTTTTCCTGTGCCACTAGGGCGTTTCCATATTTAAATATATAGCACTGCAACCATCTTGTCTAACTTCATTCTTGAAGACACGGATGCAGATCAAAGAGAAGGCAGGTGTTCCGATCACCTGAATACCTTCCTGTGCAGTGCTGCCGACCTTGGCTTCCTGTCCCATCTAGCCTGATGAAGATTTCTGAGCAGCTGGAAACTCTGCACATTTCTGTGGCATTTCAGTGGGTCCTAACAGAAGGATCATCTAGCAACGGGATTTGTTTTCATTCTCAGACTTGCATGGTTACCTTTGTCTTTTATTACCACTTCTATGTTCAGGACTTCCAAGGCCATCTGGCATGGCGCCAAACAACGGGGAGGCCCATCCAGAAATCAAGATTGTCAAGACTGGCGAACGGCATCCAGCCAGTCAGAAGGCCTTGCCTCACCTCCGGCTTCTGGCAAGTTCCTCGCTGAGGACGTGCATAGCTGTGCAGATTCCCTAATTGTTCTCTGTGTGGAAAACACTGTCCAACATTTACCCATCTGATGAGAAGCATGGCACCAGGATGCCAAGTAACCCCAGAAAGATCTTGCTGCCGCCGAGAAGAGCAAAAGAGGCTTGTGCAGTAAGACACTGAAGTGCTAAGCCCAGTGTACTCATCACTCCGTTCGATCTTGGGAAAAGACGTTTCTGGAGACATGCACTCTCTGTGTAGAAATAGTACCTCATGCCAGCCAAGTGCAAAATGGTGTGGCTTATTTTTGTGTTTTCAGATCTCCTTCTGTAAAAACATACTGTACATGTATTTGCATGTGAACACTCACATATATCCTGTTCTTGGCATAGCAAAAATGTAGCACAAGGGTGTATTTATACAGTATTAAGTGGACTTTTTCTTCTGTTGAATTTCTGCAGGGAGAACCTAAATTTAGCAAAGAAAAGGCAGAGTCTAGGTTGCTGGCAGAGTTAGATTTAAATAAATTACAGAGCTGTTATCAGGAAGGAAATATATCTGGGACAAAAAGCACCAAATTGTTGTGCTACTGGTATGACCTACATTTAAAGGATCCCTGGCAGATGCATTATTCTCATGGAAAGGGCCAAGAACGGCAGGGCTACAACTGCCTCCCTAGGCAGGTTGTTCCATTTCTACACTGTACTTGCATGAACTACACTGTTATACATTGTTCATGAACTGTTTATCCCAAAGGCATTCTTGTATAGCCCATGGTAGTTGCAGATATTTGCCCACAGAGGACCTTGGCAGTTATTTGTTCAAAACATCCTCCCTGAATTGCTTATCACACAGGTTATCTCCTCCATTGTTTGGAATTTTCCTGAATGAATAAACAAATTACTGTCAGAACTAAATGTTAACTAAATGTTAACTGTTCCACCTGTATGTTATCATGCAGGCACAGAACTACATGAGAAAAGAGTCAAGGGTGGGGAGGGAGTTGAAATTGTGGGGATGATCAGGAACACCCTCCTCCCAGCCACTGGTTATCACCTGTAATTCAACCTTCCCTCCCAACAGCATATCCTAGTTAATGGCCCAACACATGAGAAGGGCCATACCTTGGACCTGGTTTTCTCAACAGGACTGAAAGATGGTGGCTTGGATGTGGAGGAGCTAGTTGTGACCCTATTGTCACGGTCAGAAAAGTTCCTGGTCAAGTTTAGTCTATTAGCTTCTTGTCCCCTCTGCAAGGGTGGGGGATCTATTAAGATGGTACGCCCTTGGAGACTAATGGATCCAGATGGTTTCCTGAATGCTCTGGGGGATTATCCATCTGATATGGTCGGTGCTCATGTCGAAGTTCAGGTCACCCTATGGAATAGGGAGATGACGATTGCACCTAAGCGCCCTCTCCCTGCATGCAGAGCCAAGACAGCTCCTTGGTATACTTCTGAACTGCGGACAATATAGCAAAAGGGGAGACGGCTGGAGCGCAGGTGGAGGAAATCCCGCTGGGAGTCCGATTGAACACGACTTAGAGCCCATTATTGGGTCTATTTTGTGGCAATACGGCTGG